GCACCACAGTTGTTCTGTCGTGCCACTCTTCTCCCTTGCAGGTGAGGTCTTTGTACCCATCTGTGGAGCCTCTCTAACAGGGCCCCAAACAGCCACACATGCACCACTCACCAGGGAGTGAGTGACCGTCACTCCCTGGCCACAGAATATCACAGCCACTTTGTCTGAAGGAGACGATCCCTTGGATTTCACAGTAGATGAACAGCAGCCTGGCTGGTCCAGCTTTAGCTTCCTCCCCCACTAACGCTACTGAACCAAGCTGCTAAGTTAAACACTTGGTATGTCTCTAAAGCAGTGACTCTCAACCAGGGGCCCATGAAGGTAGGAGGTGGCAAGGTGGAGGAGATAAACTAGGTGTGCAGGGATAAGCAGATAAGCACAGGCTCAGGCTCATCCCTGCCTGGCATCATGATCCCCCACCGCCACTGCCCAGCCCTTCTGCAAGGAGGTAGCTCTGTAATGAATAAATTAGTTTCTGAAATTGGGTGCCATTCAATTCACAGCAGTTATGGAGGGGCCTCAAGTGCAATGAGGAATGCCTTGAGTTCAAAATGGTTGAGAACCACTGCTCTAAGGCTTTCTCTAGACTGAGGATTTGGCCCAGATATAGCTGGCCCTATCTCGACCCAGCACACGTCCTTGGCATAGACAAGCAAGGCTGCCTGTGCCATGACTTGCACCCACACACTTCACATTGGCTTTGCTTGACTATGTGAGGGTTGAAGCCTATTTTACCACCAGACTCTTCTTATTGCCCCAAACACAATAGTTTGGTATTGTAGGGTCTTAGCTATGGCTCTTTTACGTCCAGTGCTACTTACCTGCCAGCCTGCGGATGCAGTGGGAGACCGGGAAAGGATACAGGGTAAGAAAAACACTCCTCTTCTTATCTCATGGAGAATGTGCATTTGCTCCTTGATTATTAGGCACAGCTAATCCTGCCTTGAGCTGGGGCATAAACTAGATGACCCCATTCCTGCCCTATTGTTCTACATTTCTAGGCTATTGATTCCTTCTTCGAAGTTTTCCTTAATCTAAACTAAAAGCCACCTAGGCTGAAAGGCAGAGCTGACTGAAGAGGTACAGGAAACTTGATTCACAAGATTACTATGTATAAATGTAGAGTTTGGTTCATTATGATCCATTAGTTGATTAAATTTGCCTCTTGTGAAGAAGGCCAGCCTGAGGTCTCAGCATCATCTACTTCTTAAACCTTGTCTGGGATATAAGACTTTTCTGGCCTGTTTGGTATGACACTAATTTTAACTAAAATGATTGTTCCTTCTAGGACATCTAGGACATTGGTATTTATCACTCTTCATTCACCTGCATTCAAAGTCCTACGCATCAAACCAGGCAAGAGAAATGCTACCACGAGACTTTCTGCAGTTGATCATTCACACCACGCCACTAGCAAATAGCAAAAGCAAAGGGTTCTTAACAGAGCCAATAAGCCAAAAATGATTTGGAAAAACTCTGGCAGATGTTTGCACCTAGCAAAGATGTTTCCAGGATTGGTCTGCCACAAGGCAGCAACTCCCTCATTAGCACACTGCATGGCACCCAGCCCAACCTGGGTATCTCTGACTGGCTCCACTCTAAAAGGGATGCTTCTTCATAACAGTCAAACTCATGTTCAATTTATGCCAACGTGCAGCCAGATTTCTCTGAGTGGCATATATTTACCTTCTGTACATGGAGGGGAAAAAAAGCTCAAACAGCAAAAAAAAGAAGGATGAGATGGAGCATGCATTAAGGGAGGGGGGAAAAAAGGAAGAAAGAAAAACATTAAAACCTGTTTTAACAGAGTCTGGCTTGTGCTTTGAGAGAAATTGCAGCTAGACCCCAAGACGAGCTGCTCATTTTGCTAGGCAATGAGCTATGACCAGAACTGCACAAAACGTCTTATTCTTTTCAGAGGCTGAAAGTAACGAGCTCTTTAAATAATTAGATCTTCAGTAGCACGATGTACTCATCTTAACATTAAAAATATCTATATATATTTCTGAAACCATAGATGATGCACACTTAGGATAACATCTGCACTTACAGCACATTTAGAAGATGCCGCCTCTGCGTGCCAGTTAGGAAATTCAGTTGTGAATCTCGGAGCGCCTCTAGAACAGAATCGCTGGTCACATTCTGCGCCGCTGCTGGGGGGAGCCTGTCCTAGCAAAGCGGTTGAAAGACTTCTGCTGCAGTGCAAGAAAGTTTGCTAGCACCTTTCAAAACTCCTCCACCTCCTGAAGAGTTTATGCGAGGCCTGTCTGGTAGGCTGGCTCTGCCTCAGCAATCTGCAGGGGGGCAAGTTTCGCTCACAATAACTGGAAATGCTGCACTCGGCATAACAAAGACGTAGACATTCCCAACCATCCAAGTGGTTCCCATGAGCATATCGATCACGTACATCACGTACAAAGCTTCTGTGAAGTCTCCTGCTGTAAATAGTAATGAAAATAAGCTCACTCTTTTCTTTCCCAACGTTCTGCGCTTGGACGTCCAGGGAGATGGAGATCTAAAAAATTCCACTGAAGGCCACTTCCCCAGCTCCTGCAAGGGGTGTGTGATAAACTGACCTGAAAGCTGGCAGGGTCTTCACCAAGCTCTCAGATTACTAACAAGGAGCATACCTATGCAGCACCAGACATGGGGATGCCACAGCCAATAGATCTTGGAGGCTCCAGGTTATAATGATGCAAAGCTGAGGAGCAATTTTTGGAGAGAGACCTGGTGAAAGAGGAGCAGTCACAGGAGAGGCACCACAGCGTGGCATGGAGAGCGGAGAGGAATAGAAGAGATGAGTGTCATTGCAAAGGAGAGGCAAGCAAGAAAGAGGAACAGGAGAGGCGGGCACTTTGTTGAACACCCAAAAAATACAACATGGGCCCTGCTTCTCCTTTGATCTCAGGGCGCTCTGTTTTCCAAGAGAATGGCTACAAACATCAGATGTACCAAATCAAGTTGTATCTGGACCCAACCACCTTGGGCCGCTTTTTTGCTCATTCCCAAGACCCGCGAATAGGAACAGCACAAATTAAAAAATAAATCTGAAATAAGCCTTTAAATAGTGACTATAAATTTTAATATGTAGAACCACAGTTGCTAATGCAGAAAGGAAGCACAGGAGAGAGAAGGGGCTTAAGGACTTGAGCAGCAACATCTGGGAGATAATGCAGTACAAAGAATATTGAAAAGGCATCTAGTTTTTTATTATTATATTTGTTAGGCTACAGCGTAACCTTGGGCACAACAAACATGCATAGCAACCATGATCAGCAGCATGACCACACAGTCAAA